CAACAACTGCTAACTCAATTTGTTTCATTCAAAGTATAGCTGAGATATACTTATCTAGAACTTAATTTTAGTGATTTTTAGTTGACTGTACATGTACTCTATAAAAAAAGTTGAAAATGACCTTTTTTGTATTCTTCTCTGCTTTCACTCATTTTTGAAAGGAATTTAATACTTTATAGAGTGTTGTATTCATAAAATGCTAGACTACAAGTACCAATTTACAGAGTGTAATATTATTGTGTTTTGGGGAAGTTATATATATTTTTTCACCTGTGCAATACTTTTGTTGTATACTGTACACCTAATCACGTATCTGAACCCATAGGATCAAACAAATCCGACCTTCTAGGTTAATTCTCAGAACAATAAGCTTTCTATCTGTTCGTCGTGCTACAAAATATACATCACAAAAAAAAGTCATAAAATCTTTCGAGGTCGAGGACAATAAGATAACATCTGGCAGTGAAAAAAAAGGCGCAAGACTTCAAGATGTGCTTCAAACATATGCGCGCATATACACATATACCTACATATCAAGAAATTGGGAAATCAGGAAATCAGGAGCGGAAGATGTAATTTTGATATTGAGCAGAGGCCTGTTCGTATTCCTTTAGGAAGATTCGGTCCCGTTCTTGGACCATATATCTGTGCAAGACGAAAATGGTGTTTTGGTCAATGTCGTGTTCAGAGAAAAAATGCGTGAGAAGGATGGAAAGATGGAAGGACGTACTTTAGGAGCCAATGCACGTAGTCGGTAAGGATGTTTACAGAGTCTGGGTCCATCTTGGATTGTGCAACCATTGCAGGTAAGTTCGCTATGATTTAAAAAAAGAGGATCAGCATTATTCGCCGTAAAAACACACAAGATACGAAGATAAAAAAAACAAAATAAACAAAACACAAAAAAAGGAAATTCAAAGGGAAAAAAGAAAGAGAAAGAAAGACAACATACAAATCAACCTCAACAAATGCTCCGCCCCATAAATCTCACTCATCTCCTTCTGACTCCCCACTTTTACATGTGACCCCGTAACGAACTGATATCGTTGATTATGATACTGTGGACGTTCGAAGCGGTAGAGAAGTTTTGAGCCGAGGGCGCGGTCGAAGTAGAGTTTGAGGCCGGAGGTGATGGAGGGGAGGAGGGAGGCTGCGCGGGGGAGTTGGTTTTGTTGTTGTTGGTCTTTTGGATCTTTTTGAGCAGTTTGGTCTTTTTGGTTATTTTGGGAAGAGGGGGAAGAGGAAGTGGTGGAGAGAGCCCATTGTTGGAATTCTTGAAGGAGTTCGGAGACGTTTGGTTTGCGTGGTAAGGAGACGAGCTGCAGTCAGTTAAGTATGCGAGTCAGGTTTCTCTTTTCCCTTTTTTTTAGACTGGATAAAGGGGGAGGGAAGAGGGAGGGAAGGGACGAACCTGGCTGTTCTTTGTAACGTTCTCCCAGTCATCGACGAGTTGTACTTTCAGAATGTCCGGTATCAAAAGCCTCATATCCGGCCTACGCGAGCCGTCATCCTATTCATCCCACATTCACATAGCCACATATATAGAGAACCAACCACACACGCAAATATACAAACCATCAATCAGCACACACAAAAAGACCGTCGAAAAGATAAAGAAAAAAATGAAAATTTAACGTACCTCCTCTCGACCTCGCTTCGTACCCCTCGTACTCTCCTTCCGTCCACCCGCAGTCAACACCCTCCCCGAAGTCGCATTCGTCGCCGACTTGGCAGTCTTCGTACTCGCAGACGCAGCAGATTGCGCTTCCTTGTTCTCTGCGTTGAGACGTTTTTGAATGAGGATGTTCGTTTCGTTGAATTTCATCAGTCGGGATTCTGGGACCCATTCGTCCCAGCTAATTCGTCACAATATTCAATATTAATGTCCAGATTTACATTTTTGCACGACAGGGTGTGAATATTAGGAAGAATAGAGAAAACAATGACACCTGTAAGAATCATAGGAAAATCCAGAAAATGGTGTTAGAGGACGTACGTATTTTTCCACCCCTTATAATGCACAAAGTAATGTGGACCAGTCCGTCCAGTTGGTGAGTTACTCTCAGTATAGTTATCCGTCTTGCGGACTCTCGCCTCGTAGATTAAAGGGCCATGGTAACACAAAACTACCTCGTTAAGCGTAAACTGCGGTGTCGACATCGTCGTCGTCGTCGTCGCTGTTTCTGGTTCTGTTGTACTGGCAGGAACGGTAGTACTACTGCTCGAAGGAGCAGACGCGCCTCGCTTATTGGCACGCGTCATCGTAGATTTCCTCTTCGGCATGTTTTCTCAATTTTTTTTCTTTCGTCGACAGTTCTTTCTCTTTCTTTTGCTTGAAGTTAGGTGGCGTAAACGATGGGGATGGACGTCGTGGTTAGGTGGCAAGGACGATCTAGGGGGCTACGTAGGTCTTTTATGGGTTATATCACACAATAGGATATGAGGCGCATTGGCGCAGCACAGGGTCATTGTAGTCTTTGACGCCTTGACACAAACAAACAGACCCTATCATAATTACAGCTCCGCGCATTTGTCGACCAGTTCTGACGATAATGCGTCGGAAAAGATGTATAGGCGTTTTGGGGGGTGAAACGACACTGAACATCAAGAAAAGTGTACAGATATGCGGAAAATTATATAGGCTTGATTTTGAAGTGGAGAGAAATAAGAGAAAAAATGAGACACTGCGCGAATATGAATGAACAATGAGGCCACAACGAGACGCAAATATGAAAGTCAAAATGACGCACCTTGAGGTCCTGAACGAGGTAGTAGAACACGCGTAAGCCTTCTGGGTCCTCGCTGTCCTGTACGTCGACCAACGAGCCGATCTTTGCTGTCTGCAAAATGTCAAATAAAAAAGTTAATAAATGGCGTCGTATGAGATATAAAATGAGAAGACGGTAACGCACTTCAAAGGCAATATGATCATTCCCCACTCGGATTTCCAACTCCTGCTTCCCAACGATGTTCTTCTTTGGCCAGTTCTGGTCGTCTTCCCTAAACGACAACACCTCAAGCGTCAGTCACCACGTCCCAGATCCCAGAAAATAAACTTCAAGCAAATTGAAGAAACACGAACTTGATGATCTCGCTCGACTCGACGATTCTCTTCAGTTCTTTCACCACCAACGGCCCAATCCACACTATACAGCGGATGTTTTCAATTTTCAATTTTCTAGCGGGGTGTTTGAGAGAGAGAAGGGTGTGGTGACGTACTCTCTTTACGAATCAGACTGTCATTACGGTAGTTCGAGTTGTTGGCGTATCGTAAACGTCCATGGGAATACTCGAACTCTAGGAACTCGTGTCCATGCTTGCCTGAGTGGCCCGTGCTGCAGGGTGAACGCGTTCATTACAGCAGATACAATTAATAGAAATGTTGGGACGTGTTGTTCAACGAGTGTATTTGCGATGAAGAGTTCTGCGACTTACTAGTATCTAAAGATGGCAAAGACGTCAGTATGTATGTATGTCGTGTGTATGACCATGTAAATGTATTTGTGTGCGTACCTAAGGTAGAATGGATCCTTCTCGAGGCCGGCCATAGTTACAGTCCAGAGCAAGTTGCAGTTCGAAGTTGGCGTAGACGTGATCTTGCTGCCTTGGAAAGGCAATTCTTATAGCTGATGTAATGAAATGGCTGAATCATCCGGGATCTGTCTCTGGATTGAGTTTGCCGTGGATTTTTTTAATTTCCCATAAAGCTCAGATGAGTTTCTTCTTGTACGCCAACCAATTCCGACTCTCTGATTCTCTGACTGAAAAGCCGAATGTCCCATACAATACAGTCCTTCCTATTGTCTGTCTGGCCGCTGGTTCAGTGACATTAGCAATGGCGAATGCTATTACTGATTGCTCTCAACATCTATCTTCTGCTGTAGGAATTGCAGCAGTCTGTTTAACTTTTCAGTGTCTATCACTGTTGCACGACTGAAGCTAATTCTGCATACATAAAATAGTAAACGGTACGGCTCATAAAATCCTCCAGAGCCAATCAATCGCCTATGTGAATCAAGTTGACCCATCTCTCAGTCGCAAGGCCTTCTCGTGCTCTTAGATCAAGAGCTGCTTTGCGAAGGCCTGTAGCCGCCCTCTTATACCGTACATCCCCTTCGTCACAATCGCACATGTACGCGTAGACAGCCTTGGCGAAAAGAGGTCTATCCTCATCAAGCAGTTCCCACATTGAACCAATCACGCTTCGAAATCCAGAGAACTGCATCGCCGCAGCTAGATGAAGAACTTCATCATACACGCTATCGTGAGCTATTTCAGCACTATGACAGGCGGAAAGGAACGCAAATTCCGCTTCTGGAAGATTTGCTCGGACAATGTCGAGTAAAGTCAGCCCGCCAGATGGCAGCTTCAACAAAGAGTTGAAAGGCTCTGGATCCATATTTCCATGACAAGTGAAGTGGGCCCATTCTGTTCCCGGAAGCGCTGTGATTACTGCATCACGAGATGCTTTCTTGTCGATGAGCAATTTGGTGCTAATCCCACAATTCCTGATGTTTCTAATTTCCTGCTTAGCTGAGCGAAGTGAAGTATCCCCGATGACAAGTACTGTCGGTTCTCCTCTGACCCCATCTAACCGTGCATTGATGAGTGCTCCGAGTGTAGGAGTATATGATGAAACGTATTTGTCCAACAGATACGCCATAGTGCCGTTTGTGTCCTCGAAAGGTCCTGCAGCGTGGAAGGGAAGCGCAGATAACAAAGATGTAGTGCACCACCAAATGCGCGAGCCTTCAGCAATTCCGAGCTCGTTCAGTTTGTCTACGACTTTGGAGACAACCCTGTCCTACAATATCTTCATCGCTCGGCAGAGTATCTCGTCATATTCGTATGAGTAAGTTCTAAGACACCTTTGTGTTTCCAAGAGCTCGGTACACAATGTAATACTGTCCTCATAGAACTCTCCATCCAATGGGACACAAACAACTGGTAAGTCCTCGCGGTCGAGGATGATGAGGGCATCTGATCGATGTTTGCAATGGTTGACAACAATGACTGGTCCCTCTGTAGCGGGCCGTTGCAGTACTTTGAAGGGTGTGGCTGCAAGGAAACTTTCAAATCCAGGGATTCGACGTATTTCGCTGATAGCCTCCTCCTGGTGGTCCAAAAGTTGATGCTTCAAGTTCAGCATCTCGTCGAACGATTGTTGTTCTGTATTCGAGGAGAACATGTGTGATCCACTGACGGGTCTATCTGTGTTCGAATTGGATGTTACGAGATTTTCCAGTTGACGACTAACACGCTTGAACCTGTCTGCAAGGTCTTTGTTCGTCCCTGAAAGCCATTCCAAGGGTGTCCTGAACCCACGCATCTGCGACCAGAGCAAGGTCCTTCCTTGTTCGAGAAGTTCAACAGCTTCATCGCGTTTGCCCTCTGCTATAGCGAAAGAAGCAGCATCCAAGGCTAGGGCCTTATATTTGGTATTTTGTAGGAGAAACGTGCGCTGCGTGCTCAGTGTGGGGCTGACAGAGAAAGCTCGTTGAAGAAGTAACATGGCTGTGCTATACGCATTGAGAGTAGAGTAATGTGTATGAGACCGTGCATATTCTGCCCATTTCCTTGCTGCCTCAAGGCGCACCAGCACACTGGAGAAGGTGTGGGCTGTTGCAAGTTCAAGTAGTTGAATGGATTGCTCAAAGTCATCTGACAACCTCGACAACCTGAACCGAGTAAAATATGCATGCCCAAGAGCACCCAATGCTGCAGACCGATCATGATGGCCTTCAGGACATAGATCCAAAGCTTTTCCGTGGTTCGATATGGATATTCTAAGGTCCTCTTCTTTGCCGCTGTGTTCAAAATTGGCGAGCAACGCATTGGCAAGGTTGGTTAGCGACGATGGCCGATCTATGTGGCCTACTGGACGAAGACGCAATGCTTCCCAGTGGCATTTAATGGATTCTTTCAGGTCCTCGACTTTGCAATCATGCTGGAACCTTGTCAACAGTGCGTTTACAAGGTTGCTCAAAGTCGAGGATCGATTAGGATGACCTTTTGGATTCAGCACAAGGGCCTCGTGGTGGAGTGTGATTGAATGATTAAGGTCATGCAACTGTCCATACTGCTTAAACCTAGTACAGAGGCAGAAAGCAAGTTTACTCAACAACAGCGGTCGATCCGCATGTCCGTCTGTGCAAAGATCCAAAGCTTCCTGGTAGTACTGAATTGATTTGTCAAGGTCATCAATCTGTCCACTATGTCCAAGACACATCGACAAGCAATTTGCTAGGTTAACCAGTGGTGAGTACCGGTCAGGATGGTCTGATGGCCAACGTTGAAGAGCAGACCGATGGAGCTTTGTTGACTCTTCCGAATCAGCATCTCTCCCGCCTCGCTTGAAGCATTCGAGCAAAGCAGTTGTAAGACTGATCAGTAACACAAACTGGTCAGGATGTCCAGCATGGCAGAGGTTGAGAGCATTCTGATGAAAATCGATGGATGCATCAAGAACTGCTACTCTGTTCATATTGTGTATATAGAAAATTGCCGATGTCATGGTATGCAAGAGGAGAATGATGCTGATATTCAGAGGTACCAGGGACGGGGGATGTTGAAAACTGTCGCTCGAATCCTAGGGCACTATACAGTGACTGATTGCGTCTCTAAGGTCCTCGTCTTTTCCGTTACGCCTGAATCGGGCTAACAGGGCCCAAGCATGGATGAGTAGTGCTTTGGTACGATGGGGATGACCTTCTGGATGAAGTTGTAGAGCAACTTGGCTGTACTCGATTGAATCATCAAGATCTTCCTCTTGTCCACTTGTACTGAATCCAGAACACAAATAATAGGCAAGGGTAACCAATGAGGTAGGCCGGTTTGGATGATCGATCGGATAATCTTCCATTTCTTCACGGTAAAGTGTGATAGACTCCTCAATATCTGCTGCATGCCTATTTGCATGCATCCATCATGCAATTCGAGTACAAAGTAGTGAATACTTATGGGAAATAGTATATTAGACCTGTTGTGGCATGAAGCTACTTACAAGTTCTCTATTCCATTAGAATGTTTGTGCTGCCCAATCAGAGAAAGTGTCGAAAACACAATCTCTGGATAATTTGCTTCCTCCATGAGCACTTGGAAAGCTGAGATACAAGACTTGAGCACTGAGAGTGAATTACAGCAAAAAGAGATCGTGGTAAGAGGAAGAGCAGGGCGGAGGGCATAAACTAACTCAGCACAGCATGCTCCGAGTCTCTACAACGTGTTGATGCTCAGTGGTTAGTGTGGTCAGAGAAGCCTGATGATCTCAAGATCCGAATCAATTCGTTTGATCAGTGCACAGAAATAACAAGATAACTGATCTCGTTCCATTGGATACAACATGAAAGTCAAGAAAGATACACGAAAAGGGAAACAGCGATCAGTGCTAGGTCTGCTAAGCAAAGTAAATGACAAGTGCTTGCGGGAAGCCAGAAAGAAAACCGTGTAGACACTGTGGAGGTGGGTAGATTATGTCATTGTTAAAATTTCGGTAGTTATAAATATGTTATGGTGCAAAGCATAAGAACGACGGTCCAAGTATTCATTGCTCTTGATCGACAGGATGCTCCACTTTGTATTTGCTTACCACCACTCTGCAAATCAATAAATTTAATATATAACTTTGCTATACAGACAGGATCCATTCAACAAAGCACGCTGCATTATTGCTTTGCAGATTTTGCACTGAATGCTCTAAATATAAGTACACTTCTTCCTAGATTTCCTTCGTGGGGACTGTACAGTAGCAACTAGGAGCAAATTAGAGACTAGACCCAAAATATGTAACATATGCTTACTGTGAGACAGCAACTGCAAGGAGGATCAGACGCCACTATTGTATCATTTGCATAATATTTGTTGTGCGAGGTCCACATTGGAGCCGGCACAATGTTGCTGGGCCTGGCACCTTAGCGGAGCCAGGCTGGCCGTGAAAAAGTGCAGATGGGAACATAATTAACCAAGCAAAAGATGAAAAGTGTGAAGATGGGCAGTTACAATTGACCTACCCATGTTTACAGCCAACTTCTTAGATCTGAGTTAAGTTGACCAGGGAAATAAGTACATAGAACCATCACTGTTCAGTGTCAGGACGTTTGCTTGTATGTGCTCTTCCCGAATTCGTTATATGACGTTATGTACATGTGTATGCGTTAGTTAGATATTATTACGTAACTCTAAATCTGTCTCTACCTTATACTGTAACGTGATCCCTCTTTTCAATTTTTTTCAAGATATCCCTCTTTTCAATTTTTGCATTTGCACACCATCCATAGTACCTGACACCACCAAAAAATTCAAGAAAGTGCATTTGTACTATAGAAAACATATTATGTCTTTTTTTCTGAAAAAAAATCAATGAAGGAATTAAAAATTGGTAAATACCACTTTTTTCCAATGTTCAATTATAATTAGCTCTGTTAATTTTATTAGTGCACTTCTTGTTACAATTATACTATGTATTTCTTATGTATATACAAGAGTACTCTTAGTATAATTTCTAAGTAGTATACTGGTTGTTGTGAATTAAAATTGTAGAAAGATTGTTTGAGAGTGACAAAAACGTGACAATTGTGCTGAAGTGATACAGCAATGCAGTGCATTTGCAAGGCTTGCACGTATTGAATTATATGTGACATTTTGTGACAAAAATTGAAAAGAGGGATCCCCACCCTTCCTACCTCAAAAAAAAATCGTAAAATTTTTTTTGAAAAGAGAAGTACGGTTTTTATATAGTAATCTATGTATATACTGATTTTTAAGTTGAAATAATGTGTGGTTGTGTCTGTGTGAAAAAATTGAAAAGAGGGATCATGTTACAGTAGGGTGCGAGAGGAAACTGGTCAGTTTCCCACAGCGAGGTTTTCCACAGTGGAAAACCACGAGGAAAACCTCACTGCAACGACCTTGAGCAAAAAATTGAGTGTTGCCAATATGTATTACTAAGGTAGTTTATTACATATGATTACTTACTTTGACGAAAATGCTGCAACAAATAAAATTGAGTATCAAATAATTCCCTTGTTTGTCCATACAGGCTATGACAAATATTATTACATAAAATGTTATCCACGCGATGTTTACCACGCCTCCACGGGTCCTTACAAAAATGACTTGTGGGAAACTATTTCCACATGAGCCTCGGGAGTTTCTACTACCTTAGTTCAGTTCTGTCTCATGTACACATCGTTGAACAGCCATCCCTCTGTCACCAGCCTGCACGTCAAAAAGAACAGTATTATCCACATGAATTAGGTGTCTTTAACGTCAGTATGCTGAACAAAATGCTTCAAATGATGGACGACACGTCGCAAGAGTACAGAACAGAAGAAGCACGAAGTGCGGTCAAACGTTTGCATGATGGGCATGATGGATGATGGCCTTTGCCACAATTTGCACCTGGGCCTGTTCTCAGGCGAGCCAGACCTGCTATTCATGTCCATAAAGCGTATGCACGTACAGGCAGCTTGTATAGAACTCAGGCTCCTTTCTCGACTTTATTCTCATTGAGCTGTGACTGAACTGCTCAGATACAGCGGCGTTAAGAGTACTCCTTCGCTGAGGTTTCTCCGATTTCCAAGGCTTCTGGACCTGGCCGTGAACTCCGTGCCGAAGATAGCTTAACTTGACTCAATACAAAGCAGCTAGGACCGAAGAGGTAGAAGTCTGTTGACGCTCTGCTTCATATGATGTCCTTGACCAGGGATGCACGTCTTCAACAGCTTCTTCAGGGCAACGGGACCTCCTTGCTCGAACGTGCATCCGCTTCGATTGCTGTCATTTGACCCGATCAAGTAAACATGCGTCGAGAAACCCGTTTATTCTTGGCATACTTACGTTTGGCGGGTTCTTTAGGTCACTTGGTTCAACCGTGCACATGGCGGACTCGACGGACGATGTGTTCCGCAAGATGATGTGTCCCTATCATACTCATTGTTACATCGCTACCTTTCGGTGACGACGTGGACCGTTGATATGGACCCGTGTCTTGTTTGTTCTCGTGGATGATTTTCGCACGTGCGTGTCGGGTAGATATGCTTTAAAGAGAGAACGGTGGCATCGAAATTCCGCGGAGGCTCTGCAACCAACAACGCCGCAATGACTCGTTCGGGCATCTTGCGTCTCAGCTGTTTGCTGTTGGTGATTACATCTGTCCTTGCACAAGTGAAAATCCTGCAATCAAATGATGATGGTTGGGCGGTTGCCAACATCCGAGCACAGAACACCGCTCTGGTTGCCGCCGGCTTCAATGTCAGTACTGCTCCTTGTCTGTGTATGCTAGTTGCACTAACACAGTAATTTCTGGCGGATTAGGTAGTCCTTTCTGCGCCTGCGGAAAACGAGTCTGGTACTGGCTCTTCAGATGCCGAGCCGGAGCCATTGGGATCTTCTGGGTGTGAGTTTAGTAGCTGTCCACCCAATTCTCCCGCGACGGGTTCTGATCCCAATAATCGTACGTTTGTAATTATTCCATGCCTATTCTCGTCCACTAGCTGACTATATGCTTCTTGAAGCCCGACTCAACTATGTCAATTCTTTCCCGTGAGTGCTATAGAAAGCAAATGCTTGAGAAGTGTGTACTTGGGTTGACTGGCGAACCGATTAGGGTCACCTCAGTTCGTTTCGGAATACAAACTGCGGCTCCACCTTTCTTTGGCGGTACGGGACCTGATCTCGTCGTATCGGGACCGAATGTAGGAAATAACCTAGGCACAGTTGTATTGGGCTCAGGAACTGTGTAAGTCATGCAAATAGTTTTTGGTGTCGAAGCTGTTGGTCGGATGCATTCTGACTCCACGAAATTTTCTGAAAGAGGTGCAGCATGTGAAGCTGCGAAGGAAGGCTTTCCTTCTGTTGCCCTTTCTGGCGCTGGCGGATCACAAGTTTCTTTCGAAACTCTTTCAACACCTTCAGCATCGACGACGACCGCAAATGTCTTTGCTTCTCTCGGAGTTAAAGTAGTGCAAGCGCTTCTTGCAGATTGTTCCACTCCGATTCTGCCGAGGGGTATCACACTGAACATAAACTACCCGGCCGCCACCGGATCCTGCACCGATCCCGATGCATTCAACTTTGTTTTAACGCGCATCAACTCAGCGAGCGCTGGCACGCCAGCCGACGTCACCACGTGCGGGTCCGATAGATTGCCGACGGAAAACAGCGTCGTACAACAATCAGGTTGTTTTGTAAGTGTCAGTGTAATGAACGCGACAACAAAAGGAGACGTAGATGCCTCAACGCAGGCAGTTGTGCTGAACAGACTTGAGGCGTTCCTTAGCTGTGCATAAAATGATGGTGCGAAGTGATTTATATGCGTTATATTGTCCATCAATGCTGCGTGTCCTAGTAGAAGCTGTTCTAATCACTATAGGTGACTCGAAATCATCAACAGGTCAAAGTTATTCTAGGTGCTCCTGTGAGCTTGCAAGCCTAACAAGGGGATCAAATTCAATTGAGATCGCTTCCGGGTGCTATTTTGTTCACAAGTCAAGCCGCGCATGTACAGCATGGCGTGCCTAAGAAGGAACCAATACGGTAACTACGTTCAATATGACGTTACTGTATCTCTCTTCTCAGCCTTTCTCAACGTGCGAGCGAGCAGGCAGTTCATCGCCACGCTCCCGCGGCCGGTTTGTTTCCGCTGAATATGAGTATAAAACAGCGAATGCGGAAGGTTTATTCCTTATTCGTTTCAGAATAACCCCTTCAAGCTCGCTTCGCGCCACGACCCATTCCCGACGTTCGCGAGATCGGCAGGACGGCTTTTCGTTGGAGAAAGTGGGAGATTGAGATATAAGGCCGCTTTCTCTGTCTTGCTATCCGCGAAGTGGATTTAGTGCCCGCCCCCGCTCCCTTCCTTCCAGTCAGCCCCCTCTTGTCCATTTTACACAATCTTCGGTAATTGTTGGCTTCTTAGCATTGGTCTACTATGATTCTCGGGCGTCTATCCGCTAGAGCTTTGGTGCTGAACGCACTACCTGCGCTCGTACTTGCACAGACAAAAGTCTTAATATCGAACGACGATGGCTGGGCGACTGCAAATATCCGCGCTCTTTACGCTGGTCTTCGAGACGAAGGTTTAAACGTATGTTGATGTTCATGTCCGCTCATATCCGCCTATATCCAATCAAAATTATTATTTCAAATTATTCAAAAACATTGTCTCACATATTTGTTATTTTTATTTTGTTTTATTTAATATTAGGTCGTGTTATCAGCGCCTGCGGAGAATCAATCTGGAACGGGTTCACTTGACTTACCTCCATGGCAGGTTGGATTCTCTGGGTGTGAATTCAACTCGTGTCCACCTGGGTCACCGCCAACTGGACAAAACGCAAGTGATTGTACGTGGTTTCCATTTCTCCTTTTTCCTTTCCTTTTTATTCTATCGGAGTGTTTTCCGGTAGAGTACATACTAATTACATTTTTTTTGTTACAGCGCGGTTGAACTACGTAAATTCGTTTCCGTGAGTAAATTCTTTCAGATGAAGCATGCGAAGTCATAGCTGAAACGTCTTTTTTGGTTTGTTCCAGCGCCACAGCTACACGGCTCGGAATTACGGAATTCGGACCACAATTCTTTGGTGGTGGAGAACCAGATATTGTCCTCGCGGGACCCAACGTGGGTTCGAATACAGGATTAATACGTGATGAACTCTCGGGTACCGTGTATGTGGGATTTCTTTTATTTCTTCTCTCCCGCTCCATTGTTCAATCCTCCATTCTTAAATTCTCCACCTGCTCCGTTCCTTCTTTCCTTACTTCGCCGAAATTCTCTGCACGGTCCTTTTTGTGAATCCGCGGTATCGGAAGAATCCTTACTGACGTTATTTTCTTTTGATACTGTGGAATTGGCAATTGAATTGTATTATGCAGAGGAGCAGCTACCGAAGCGGTTCTCAGCTTCGGGATCCCCGCACTGGCCATCTCAGCTGCTTTCCCCACCCAAACATCCTTTACCGTACTCGACGATCCTACGAATCCCGCAACGATTTCCGCAAACCTCTACAGAGATCTCACGGCTAAGCTCCTTGCCGCGCTCCTCGCACCACATCCTTCTCTGGGTCTCCCACCGGATTCACCAATTTTACCAGCGAACATACTGCTGAATGTGAACTACCCTGATCCGACGACGAGTGCGTTGGCGGGAAAGTGTCAGAGCGCCGATGCGTTTGAGTTTGTGTTGACCCGTGCGGTGGATGCGTTACCGCTTTTGACCCCCCTTGATGTGGTGACGTGTAATAATGGTGGGAGGTTACCGACTGAGACGAGTGTGATAGGGAGGACGGATGGGTGTTTTGCGACTGTTACTGTTATTGACGCACGGATAAAGTTGGATGCCAGTGCGGATGATCAGAAGCAAGTGTTGCAGAGGCTGGATGGTTTTTTGAGCTGTGTTTGATTCTTTTCCCTGGATACTCTGGATACTTTCCTTTCATGTTGGTCTTGAGTTTGACTTCGGAAAGGACGCTGAACTTAGGACGGGTAACTTATCTATTATTCATGCATACATGTACATGATTACGTTCGCGATGACCTTCATTATGCCTTTGACTTGACTTTTCGTCTATTCGCATTTCATTGTACTTTTTTCTTACCTCACATCCCTTTTCGTTTGCACTTACATCGATGACGGATAATTTAGTATTGATCATATTTGCTTAGGGTACTCTGGATCGTTAGTTTCTATTGTGTTGATTTGTGTAGTCACTCGTTAACTTGAATATGATTTTCATAAGAACGAATGTTTGTAATAATTTGCTGACTACCAACGTGTATGTGCATGTGTCAAAATTAGGGATTCCATTCCGCTTGGTATACTTCATTCAGATGTTAGGGCATGTGTACATATAGCAGTGTCGTAGATTAGGTGAGAGCGTAGGTATTGTTGGGTGGTGTCGTAAACGGTCCACGGCAGAGAAAAGGGAGAAGAGAGAAGAGAGAAGGATAGCATGCGAATCAGGGCGAATTATAACAGGATACCAGCATATCGGAATGTCGGAGTAACTGGAGCAATGAGAGGATCGGAGCACTAGGCAAAGCAGTATCACCTCGCAGCGCGTCGTTCCTCCACAACCGCGTTTACCCACTGCATCAAAACAGTCTCAAGCATTGTATCCCAGCCCTCTTCGCGCCTCGCAACCAATTTGGCGTCGAACCCAATTAAGGGGATGTCACTCCGTCGCCTCTTCGCCTCATTTGTGTTTGCTTTCGGAGGGAAATGTGTGGTTTGGGGTGAGAGCGAAGGTGTGCCTGTACCTGTGCTGGATAAGCTTGGACTTGTTGGTCGTGCGGGTGTGGACAGTGAGGTAGGGTGGGAAGGTGATGTAGAGAGGGAAGGTCGAGTTGGTGAGGAAGGAGAGAGTGCTGCCGTGAGTGACTGGTGGGATGGGATTGGTAAGGCTGCTGCGGGCGTTGTGAGTGGGATAAGATATCGAAGTTTTAGAGCTCTGTATTTGAATCAAAGAAAAGTTACGTTAGACTTCTTGGGCGAAAATAGTGAAAATAGAATGTGGAAAAAGGGTAAGGAAGAGAAGAATATACTCACGCAGCCCAAAGTCGTAGATTATCAATCCTCCTGAACGTCCACCCCGTCTTCCTTTTCTCCTCGCCTTCTTTCCCTCCCCCTCCACCATCATTGTTAGGACTGAGTTTAGACTCAAGGGAAGCAATATCATGAATCGCGTCTTTGTTAATATAACCCCACATTTTACGGCTCCTTCGTATACCCGAGTTGTATGCCACGCAAAGGAGTTGGCCTGAGGAGAGTGCCGTGAGAAGTTCAAGGCGATCCCTGTATGGGATGGGGAGGAGTGGAAGGAGGGAGGTTGGAAGAAGGGAGATGAGAAGCGCGTGTGCTCGAGCTATAGATAGAATAAGTTATCAACACAATGTAAAATATCTAATGAAGACATGAGAAGTGAATGGATATTTACCGAGAGGATTGTCCACGAACGTATTCCGTTTTGCCCATTCAGGTAAATCATCTTCGTCGACGCTATCTCCGTCCTCTTCGTCCTCTTCCGGTTCCTGTGTAATAGCTTCGGATTCTCCTTCCTCGGTGATCGTCAAGTTACTAATGGCTTCCATCATACCAGGCGAAACAGCTCGATTCCCTCGTATAGGAGAAACATCATCTCTGTGCCTTCCGAGACTGGATCGTCGTCCTTTTGCTCGACCTTCTTTCTCCAGCTCCAGCCGCGCCGCTTTCTCCCAACCTCTTGTTCCATTATTGCTTGGACCGTCAAACAGTGCTTCATCCACCGAGTCGAGGTATTTTCCAATAACCTCGCGTTCGTGGGTAAGGTTTGTTAGACGAACGTCTTGTCGATAAAGCCATCCACCACCGAGGACAAGTCGTTCATCCCATACTTCACGTTTCTCTCCCGCTTCGGAAGGCGTATCGAGGTCGTCGGAGTCATCGTCGTCCCAAACAGGTACGGCTTCTGAACGTCCCGGAACGGAAACAACAGAGATCGCGAAGGACACGTCGTGTCCTTGTCCTTGTCCTTGTCCCTGTTGCTGAGGGGGTGAATGACGTCGGTGATATTGCTGTTCGTCCTCTTCAAGTACAGCTTGGATTGGTTCCGGTGAACGTGAATCTTGAGAAGAAACATGATCACTCTGCGCGTCATACGCTTCGTCTGAGAGTGGTAATCGCGTTGTTTCCTCCAAGACTCGGAGTACAGCAAGCACGTCAAGTGCAGATCGACGGATACGCGCCATGGGATCTGCAGCGCCATTTGGGTTTGACGTGACGCGTTTCATAGGTGTGGGTTGCAAGGAATTTGGCCGGAAGTGCTGCTTGTGTGGCTGGAGCGCAATTGAGTCATCCGGAAGAGATACACAGTAGTTGCGTACGGAGCGAATGAGTTGGGTCGTGACACGTAAAGCGGAGAGTACGTCGAATTTTTCGTCTAATTTACTTTCACTGCTATGGCTGGCAAGACCCCAGGATTCAGACACGGATTCGAGGTCTCTTATTACGCCTGGTTTCAGGTTTTCAGGGTCTACCTCGTATGTCTTGTCGACAGCTGGATATGGTGTACGCTTGAATACAGGGACAGCAGGAGACGGTGGCAGATGGAATTCTTGTATACTGCTAAGCGATGGTCTCAATGGCCGATTTGTTACGCTTCCTATGGCAGGCACGAGGCCCTTATTCTCTTTGAGTGCCCTATGTCAAGTCTAAGTGGTTCACGTACGAGAAAGAAAAAATTGAAATTATTATGACAAATAAATTATTACTCACTCCTTCTTAGCAGCAAGTCCAGTTTTCGTAAAGTAATGCTGGAGGTGCTCGATACTACCGAGTGCCATGACGCTTTCGCGTTTTGCAGCACTTCGACTGAATGGTTTCTGTAGCTTATTGGACGAGTTCATGTTTGGGTAAAAAGCTGTTTGCCTTCGGTTTTTCTTTGAGCCGTCTTGCTGCGTGGAAGATGGATCGGAAGATGGTGGAAAGGCGAAAGCGTCGAGCTTCTCTTCGTCGGGACTTTGCGTTGTCGGAAATGGTGTAAGATTTGTCATCATGAGCTAAGATAGCAACCAACTTGCCAGCACTGGGTGGTGTTTGAGTGCGCGATGACAGCGAGAGCGGGCAAAGTGTCGTGGAAGGATGGTGAAGTAATGCGGCTGATCGATTCGGATTCAGTTTGACACGCGCTGCTGTACTTTGCCAGCACGTGCACTCCATTTCGACGTGTCGAACACGTGCCTCGTTCTCTCCCGGCCACCGTCTCGACCACAATGATTGGGTACAACACAATGAAATTCGTCAGACAACTAGGCAAACATTGCTTGTCTTTCAAGCACCATTGATTTTCCCTCTGTTTCATGCATTCACCGGACATGAATCATTTCATACCTTATCCCTTCTTCAAGTTCTAGCTTCTTGCTCCAACGAGTTAGTCTGCATATTCTATGTACATACACTAGCAAGACGCATTTTTCGCTTCATTCCTCGCAACATATGATACTTCTGGCCTTTTCCAGTGTCTGGTCCGTCAAGGAAAAATAGGGAACAAGGCGAAACCGACATACCCTGCGCCGCACTTGCACATTGCAGCCGACACGCGACCGAGGCCGATAAAATCGAAGTGATCGGGTTCCGTGCAATTAGAACCAATTGCTCCACCTCGATTAAGTAAGTAGACTGCTGTTCGCTTTCCGATCGACCTGAAGTCTATACATTAAACGTCAAACAGTTTTTCCCAGTTCATTCCCTTTTTGTCCTTTATTGTTGCAACTGAGGCGAGCTGTATGGGCATCTCGTCACCAACTTGCCAGATTTCGTCGAGATGAAGCAGTCTTAGCCAGCTACTTCCATTTGGGAAGATACAAGCTGCTCTGCTTCAGCGCCATATTGCAGGGAAGATGGTCTTCCTGTCCGGACATTGCCTTAACCTTTACCCTCGTCGGAACGAAGATGTTCTCCATGTACTTCTCGTTATTCATCCAAGGCAACTCCGAACTCATTCTGTGATTGATGATTTATTAGTTGGACTTCGTTTCCATCCTCGGGCCTCGCAGGCAATGCGGGAATGCGGGAATGCTGTCCTAGTGAGCTCCCCTGCCCTAGAACCACAGGATGATTCTATTGTTTCCACTAGAATTCTTGGCAACTAGCAATTGAAGGTACTCTATAAATGTGACTTATGAATACAATACTAATGACCTTTACAGGATGACAGTTCTCTGCTTAGAGTAAGCACTTGTTTTGCAGTTCAGAATCCATCACGTCACAGCACCTTCTGTCATCTCCCAAAGACTTCTTGTAATGAAATGATGGAAAGTAACCGTTTCAATCCCTCGGTGCGATGTTTTCGGGCTTGCAGTTATGTACTTCCATGCACTGCATGGAAGAAATGCATACTCCAAATTAGCAGTGTCGGATAAACGGCATATCGCGATTCCAATATTGTGCGCACGTTAGGCAGGTCCGAGCAGGTGACTAGGAATACAGTACGTGCCGTCCTTTACAGGGGACACTTTCAATAATGGCAGGGCTAGGACAGTCAATTATGCACAGGGTCTAGACAAAGTTCAGATTTCGAATGGGCGTAATATTAGTGAGTCGTTCGCAGTCATAGAACAGCTATAGGCCTTGCTCATTGAAATACTCAGATAACCGCACCGTCGATGTTCGAGACAACATAATGCATTAAACGACAACAACATCACATTGCAAACGAGTGGATCTAACAGCTAACCAAGACTAGGTAGGGTATTTTGTAAACGAATGTGAACGTCCAAGCCGGATGGTATAGAATGGCCGTTTAACACCCAAAATCAAGAAGACCATGCGCTGCTATCTGGACGAATCCATCAGAGGTTGAGGTTGATCGGGGTGCAACCAAGTGCAACGACGCCGTCTGTTCAAAAGGCGGGCATTCAATCATCTGTCGAAAGAAATGGGAAATGAAACGTACTGAAGCTGTTGTTCTCGCAGCAGACGGGCTGTGCATTGCAAGAATTGCCTCCAACACCGATGACCTAGAGATACAATACACATCATGTGTGCAATCAGTTTTCTGAACCGCAGAAAACTCTTCAACAAAGAAGATACTCACGCTAATCGGGGTGCACGTGACGCCCACTTGGGCAGTGACGTCCTGAACAACAATACCAAGGAGGCCAAGGAGGCCAGCGACAGCAGGGGAGTCAGCAGATTGAACGGAGTTGCAGCATTGAATAGCGCCAGTGTTGCAGGAGCCTCCCTGAGGAACTGGGGTGGGGGTGGCAACCGCAAGGATGGCGAGGGAGGCGATGGTGACGAGCTTGGCGAACATTTTTAAGTGAGTGGATAGCTGTTTAGCTGGAGAGGTTTGAGGCAAGGGGTTGGAAGTTATAGTGGGGAAACTAGTTGAACTGTTGTGTTCGACTGGTGAATCCGGACTCTGTAGGCTCCTCCTTTTATATCTTTCCAGGATGATTGATAGGTCAGTTACCTCAGCAGAAAAAAAAGGTGTTCGGAAAAAGTCTTGGGCGAATGCGGTGCGGAAAGCGATTCCGTCGCAAATCTTACGATGGACAGATGAGTAGAAGAAGGATGGAAGGTTATGTCTTCTCTTCTCTTCAATCCACTTCCCTATTCTCTCCGTCGCAACCGCAACAACGGGGTTCAAAGTAGAACAAGAATTTCATCATACAGACAGCTTCTGCCAATGATCGTCAGAAGGGATAGAAGATTCATATAGCCATCGACGCATTTACCCAATACATTCACTTTCAAACGGACCGCAATTGAGCTTTAGAGGGCTGAAACATTCGAACTCCCTGAATGAACGCCCGTTCGCTAAACTTTTCTCCACTTTAACAGAGCAATGAAATCAATAATGGATCGTCTTCTCACAAGGTTGGTGAATCCCAAGAAAATCGAAGCATATCAATAGAAAGCAACACATCGATCGATCGAGATGCATACTCAAATGAATGGTTAATCACAACTATGCAAGCTTTCTGAAACGCTCGCCTCCCTTGGGATGCCGAATAAATTCTCAAACGTATGGGGTGGGCGGCGACACGAATTGAGTCTACTCAATGCGCATGATGTGCGAACAACTTGGTACGGGCGTTGATCATTATTGAACAATCGAAGAACGATCTCGGACGGCGAGTTAGACAGCGGGAGAAGTTAAAGTATGATTCGATCATAAAATGTTCAATATATCCTGCTGCTTCTCGCGCTCAGGAACTGGTCTCGACCTCAGTAGTGCAACATCCCAAGGGCACGGAGCGGAACTGATCAAGCGGCATCCTGTTACCGTATCATCCATATCGAGTGTATCATTGACGCAAAGGAGCCGCATAAAATGCGACGGAACAGAATAGAAGGCTTACATACTTTCATAGTCTCGGCACATTGCAATCGAACCATGAGTAAGGCTCCTTGTTGAGATGAAATGAAGGGTGAATTCGGATGTGTGTGAAAAATATTGATGATTTTAGGGTTGTGCGGATGGAGTGCGGAGGAGAATATATTTTCGTTTCTGTAATATTGTATTTGAAGAGTTGCACCCATTAAAATTGTATTCCTCCCTCTTTAGCTTATTAGCCAATCATGCAAATTCACCAACAATTCAAGTCAATTCAACGGAGAGGAGGCTAAAATCCTATATTAAATCAGCTAACGACTCATCCCGCCAAATAGTCAATTTTCCCCGACTAGAGTCGACTTCTTAGTCCATTATCAGTCTACTGACGACCGAACAAGTATTCCCAGTTGAGTTCTAAGCCCAGGCCTACGCTCGGCATATGCAAAGCAAAGAACCATTCGGGAATCCCACAACGTTCCTTCCGGCCGAGAGTGCCCCGAATAATAATAACAAATGCGTGCATTCCGGAGTTACCAAGGACAAGAAGTTATCAATATTGATATTGCATTGTTTTGGGGAAGGCACATGTTTATCCGACTTTCGTAGAGACGGAGTGGGCGTGTTCAACGCGTTGCATATTTGTTTTTCTCTTCACAGGGAACACGGGTAATGGAAGTGTGAATCCCTTGCGTGAATCCCTTTGTTTTATGCGGGAGAACGTTGCAATGAGCGAGTCTGTACTCAGTACCTGCCAAACCTGGAAAGAAGTGTCGTGTTAGTTTGACTGAGATAAAGGTGAAAGTTGAGAGGGTCTATGCATATGAAATTCCGACGGAGTATGAGTGGATTGGCTCTTGATCGGCGGGAAGCGTGAGTCGTGCAAAGTACTGATCGGAAGACTCGGGTTTCTCGTAGGAACGTGTAGATAGTGTGCGTCACTCAATATCCGTCTCTTTCCTTCGTGGACTACGGATTTGGATGACTCGCATGACGAGTGCCGATATACAGAATCCCGCTTTACCAACTGCAATTTCATAGAATAAAAGAGGGAAAAGCCAGACCTGGAATCCAAACTGAGTTAGTAAACGAACAACGTTTCTTGGTGGATCGAGTGCTGCAACCCGGACATACCCTGGCCGATCGCATCGCGAAAAAGTCGCATTCCTTATATGGAATTTTAGACTTTGTAAAGCAAAATAAACATTGTATATACATTATAAAGCAATATAAGCATTATATATACATTATAAAGTAACTGCAAGGTTTCCAGATGAATTGTAATGTCTAAATAAGACATATTAACACATTACAAGACAATATAAGTACTATGGATAAATATAATCTATAAAACTAATTATACTAACCTTGTATGACAAGCCAAAGTATTATGTTTACATTATATTTCTATTATAATTATAAAAACAGAGTGGTACTTACAATATAATAAAGTAATAACAACTATTGTTTACTTACAATTGTTATAAAATGGTTATTAATGTATACAATTATAAAAACATTCTTTTTGTAAAGTTATAATCTTAATAAATGTATAGCATTAATATACAACTTGATAGCAATCACAAAGCAAGTATGAGACAAGAAAAAAAAGTATTACAAGATCTTTCTAATGATGTGCCCCTTGACTGTTTTGTAACCTATTTTTGCCATCTTAAAATCAAATTTCTGTACATATATTGAGTCCATATAAATAAAGACAAGGAAAAGAAAGAAAGAAAATACTCACATTATCAATATAAGGTAGATGCTGATAGATGCTACCTTTTTCTTCTTCCCAAAGCACCTTATTGTGAGGTGTGAGGTACAATCATTAGGTGACTTGTGATTCCCCC